ATATTTTAAAAAAATTCCTAGACTTATTCTGGAGTGTACTCTTACACTTTCAGTTAAGACCACTATGGTAAAAGAATGTTTCTAGTGATTGACCCTGAAAATCCATCTGTGTGTACAATCATTCTTTACTCAGATATCACGTATGCCTTTGTATATTAGTTTCTAGGGCTCCCATAACAAATTACCACAAACTTTGTTGTCTTAAAACAATAGAAATTTATCTTTTTATAATTTTGGAGCCCAGAAGTCTCAAGGTGTCAACATGGCTGCTCTCCTTCAGGAGAGTGTAGGAATCTCTCTTCCAGCCTCTTTCAGCTTATGATGGTTGCTGGCATTCCTTCACTTGTGTCTATATCACTTGCAATTTCTGTGTCCATCTTCATATTGCCTTCTCTTCTTCTATATTTCTTAAATCTTCCTCTGCCATTTTCTTCTTTAGACACCACCCAGCCCAGATACCTTCCCCATCTCAAGATCAAAAACTTAATCACATTTCCAGTCTTTTTGCTATATACAGAAATGTTTACAGATTCCAGAGATTATCACCTGAGCATAATTTGGGGGTCTGATATTTAGCCTACCATAACTGGTTGTCACCTCAAGCATATAATTTTTATGGGCTGCTATAGCCCATTAAGGTTGATTTATCTCTAACTATCAATTCATGTCCATAGGGATATAATAGCCTTCATGACAGTGTTTGCCCACAAGCTTTGCTGTCTTGGAACTAAGTCAAATAACCCTTCCCACAGCTAGGGATAAATTATTTTCCTGAGCTGTAGACTACATCTCCAGTTTCAGCCATTTATATGGCAGATACCTTTAGTCATAAGTGGACTGAGACTATAGAATGAGTGTGGAAAACCCATCATCCTCACCAACAAAGGCATTTCAAGAATGTGTCCTACCAACAGTGGCTTTTATTGAAAGTTCATCCTTTAAGAATAGAATATTACGGTGACCATCATTATTAAATGCATTCTAAGAGAGCCAAAGTCATATTGCCTTTTCACATGAGCCCTGACAAGCCAGGCATTTACAATGCTGTAAAGTTTGGTAGAATATAGTTAGTTTTAGTTAGTTGATAAGAGACTGTAGTTAGCTGAATATAGTCAACTGATAAGAGAAATGTGATTTCTAAGTCATAGTTTGTGAAAAACAGCTATGATCACTGTCAGCTGTGAAATTCCATTCTTTTTCTTGAGTGGAAATTAGAGTTTTAACAATTAGTCCTGAAAATATTATTACTAAAAGGCTTTTTCCTATGCCATTAGCAGGCTGATACAAGATTGGCAGTAAATATGATTTTAACCTGGAGCTTTCTTGCTTGTATGATAGGAATATAATAGTATTTTTAGATGAAGCAATTGATAGAAAAATTCTGGTTTGGACATGGATATATTTTATATTACTGTAAAATACCTCTCCTTGGACTATATATAGTGTAGTGTTTCCACACTCAAAAAATTAAATATTTTCTGCCGATACAGTTTACTAAGATTGAGAGTACATTTTCACTGTTAGGTCTTCATGCTCTCGTTCATTTTTACTGAGTTTGTAGTGCTTTGGAACTACATCCAAGTGCATCTGACATATGGACCTAATGTTCACAAGAGTTTGCATGGGCTGCAGATAAACCATTAGGCTCACCCACATTTAAGGAATAAGATGAGGAAGATAGGAGTAATGGAGATTATCCAAAGAGTTAGGAGAAAATTCAAGAGACTAGTGTGTCACAAAATAAGGAAGAAAATATTTGATAGCATTCAGTGCTGCTGACAGGCAAAGTGATGCAGGAGTACTAAAAAGTGGCCTTGAATTTGGAGTGAAGGAAGCTGGTACATTTACTGTGATTCACTTTCAGTGGAGGGACAGAGATGAAAGCTAGATTGCCTGAGTTGGAGATACAAATTGTAGAAACTTCTCTCAGAAATTTGGCTTAAATAGGGGTTGAGAAACAAAGGGTGGTAACTAAATTGTAGACGTGGGATTTAGAGAGACTTGCACATGTTTCAAAGCTGATAGAAAGGAGCTAATAAAGGAGAAGATGTTACCACAGAAAGGGAACTGTCAGGACCAGTGATAGAAGCTTACTTAGTCTTGACAGGATATCCCTTGAATTACCATCAGAAAGGCAAAAAGGATAGATAGATGCCAGTGCAGATACATTTTAGGGAAGATGGCAAAAAGTTAAAAGGAGGCTAGTGAATGAAGTCTCTCCTAAAGTTTGAGATGATGAATATTCAATGGCATTAGTTTGGGATGTTGTTGAATTTTCTGTTAGTGCTGAATTAGTTATATACAAACAGGGGAGGCTCTGAAGCTCAGGAGGATTACACCAGTGGCTACATCAATTCTACATTCCTATCCAGGAATAGGCCCAATCATTATACCTCATCTCGCCACATGAATTAGTCCATGGGGAGGACAGGTGATCTAAACCACACCAATTATAATCTTTTCAGACTGAAGTTAGGAGAAAGAACTGTTTTCTCTTGTTGAGAGACATGAAAGGTACAAAAGGGTGTTGCTTGTTGTAGACATGGTTTGGGTTTTTTTTGCCCGCATCAGGCTCTGTGCTGACAGCGAGCCTGTTTCAGATTCTGTGTCTCCCTCTCTCTCTGACCCTGCCTTGCTCATGCTGTCTCTCACTCAGAAATAAATAAAACAACATTCAAAAATTAAAAAAAAAAAAAGTTTCAGTGTTTCTTTTTAGGTATCACAGAGAGGCAGTGGGACAAAGAACTTGAAAATATTAATAAAACCAAGACTGGTTGATGTGCTAGAGCATGTGGTCTGGGGTACACAGGAATAAAGGGATGATTGTGGAGCTAAAGATAAGGAGGAATCAAGAGAATTCAATTAATTTTTTAAGTTTTATTTAATATATTTTTTAAATGTTTATTTATTTTGAGAGAGTAAGAATGCAAGCAGTGAAGGGGCAAAGAGAAAGAGAGAGAATACCAAGCAAGCTCCATGCTGTCAGCACAGAGCCTGACAGGGGGCTCTATTGCAGGACCCTGAGGTCATGACCTGAACCAAAATCAAGGGTTGAACCACAACTGACTGAGCCACCTAGGTGCCCCAAGGGAATTCAGTTCTTAACTAAGCTAAGTAATTAAAAGGATAGGAAGTTCTGATGAAGAATATAGAAGTGTTTAATACAGTTGCCAAGCATACTTTCCTTTTTCTGGTAAAATAGTGTACCATTATAAAGCACCAGAAAGATTCAAGAAAATCTCTTTGTAATTTTGCAATTGCAAAGGATAAGGATAGTATCAACCTTTTAGATTTGTCATGTTATAATATACACACTGGGAGAATATAATATGATAAGTTTGTTGAATTTTTCAAGATACTTTATGATAGATTTTTTGTGTGTGTGATATGCAGATGAACAAGAATTTTCTATTTAGGAACTTGGTATCTCATTAAGCAAAATATTCTCATGGGCAAAAAATTTGAAAAAAAACTTGTTCTAGGACAGAATTGAATGTATTAGAAAAGTTTTAGATGCTTGGATATCATTTTCAACTATCTACCTTTATGAATAGATTTTTTAAAATCTTTACTACATTGTTAAATCACTCTGGGTAGTATTGAGTGTGATAGTATATAAAGAACCTTTAATGATCTGTCTCTTTTCAATTATGGTTTCTCAGCTATTACTTGTGGGTTCAAAATGGCTTATACAAGTAGTGGAATCCATTTAAAGTCTCCTGAGGCTTGAGTTAGACATCTATTCTCTGCATTTCTGAATAAGTACAACCTCATGAGACATTTAGCTAAACAATAGATTGTTGTAGTTCTTCAGTAAATTTTAGTTCTTCAAAAAGCATATCTAATTTATAGAATGGTCTTTGTACCTCAGTTTACCCCTTATTTTAATTTGATGTTCTGTGAGTTTTTGTATTTGGGGATACATTTTACCACATCCTGATAATGATGAAATGTCTCCTATTTTTTATTAGCTTCATAACTATCCAGTAGTTAAGTAAACTGACTGTTGTAGCTACTTTGCAGAACTCCCACAGAGTCTGTGAATACTGGCTAAGGGTACGTGTTATTACATCTTAAGTAATATAAAATCTTGTAACCTAAATATATTTGTACTGAATCTTTGCTGAATCAAATAGGTTCATGTCCTTCTTTGAAGAAAAATGTTCTGACATTATTCTAATGGTATGCACATATCCTTTTCTTCAGTATAATTTGCTGTGGTGGCTTAGAGATACATTTGTGTTTTCTTTACAACATCTTACTCAAAGTTAAGAAAGTAGAGATGTGGAGTAGGACTTTCATGGGTAGTTGTCCTGGTAGAGCAACTTGATTACAAGGACTTTATATGTAATGCCAGAGCTGGGAGAATCAGAGGTGATCAGGCTTACTTTGTCATTATTGTTACCCAGTCTCTAAAGAAGTTTTCCATCTTTCCCCTCCACCACCTCACACTAGTGTAACACTTACTAACTGTAAAGCACAGTTATGAAGTTAGACTGCTAAAAATTGCTTAAGTCTTTGTTATAAAAACTCTGAAATTATTCTCAGATGGTTTTCCATAATCTGGCTTCAGTCCTTCTTAAATGTATCTTGCTCATTAAATTTTTATGAAAATAGTTCTACTTATTATATCAATGAAAAAGGTATGCTCACTTCAGTATCCAAACTACAAGACCATATTTTGAATAAGAAGAATAGAGTGCATGATCTAATTTTAATCATATCCTAATATTTACTAAAATGTAACACAGTGTTGTGTGTCTTATTTATAAAAGCCATTTTTTACTTTGTGAAAAGTCTGTTTCACAAAAACTGCTTACCCTGTGCTCATTTACCTCACCTTGGGTATTCCTCATCTTTGCAGAACCGACAGGGTGACCAGCAAAGGGCTTGGGAGTTGCTTGCTGCTTAGTCAAGCCTTTTGGCTTTGGTCATTTGCTGTATTAAAAATATGGAACAGAATGAAAAGAATAATTCCATCTTGTTTTCTCTCTTTATAGGCTCTGTACAACTCAATTAAGAATGAGAAGCTTGAATGGGCAGTGTAAGTATGCTGGATGTCAGCATTTTAATATATGAACTGCTTGTTCTTTTTACTTTCTGTTTTACACTTTAGATGTGATCCTAGAGGATTAAATATGTATGGCCAATCCTCATGTTACACCAATGTCTAACATACTTTGTGTAAAACCTAAGTAAACTCTGAGTATCCCATGTTTTTTTCTTGGTGACCAACATGCTTCTATTTTGCTTTTAGTCTAGTTGCTAAGCCTACAGACAGCTATCTTCTAAAAAAGAAAATCTGATAAAATCACATATATTCCAGAATCCAATACAAATGATTTTGGTACAGTCTGCTTGTTTTAATCCCCTCCTTCCTATCATCAAGGATCAAGGTTTTCCAGTCACACTAGTAATACCAAGATATTGATAGATAAACTTAAGAAATGATGGGTTAAATAAATCAATAATATTTTTAACTGTAGAATTTCCAGGAGTTTATACAATGCCAGTCTCCAAGAGAGGAATCACATGTGCAATGTGTTCTGAATCTTTTTAACAATATCATGTAGTGTTTCAAGATACATACTTTGGGAAATACAGTTATAGATAAATTACACCTAACCCTATGTAAATCAATAATACCATAACTCTTCTGAATTTTCACTCATCAATGCAGCAGCTAAGAATTTAACTTAAAAAAACTTTCTACTAAATTTTTAATTGTCCAGAAATTAGGTCAAAATATGTTTTTTTAATTAGAACTATATTTGAATTTTATTTTTTATTTTCACCAATATTAAGTATCCATAAATACTTAGAAAAGTATAGACCATGTGGCCTAGCATAGCAATCTGCAATTAACTTAGGTTTATAGAGTCATAACTTGAGGGGTAAATCTTACTCTTTCATCTGTACACTGGAAAAAAGTAGTTTAGCAATTGACTGTATATGTCTCACATATAATAAGCTACAATTAATAAAAAAATACTACTTAAACTGCACTAATTGCAAGGTTATATGGCACTATTTTAAATTAGGGATTCAAAGTTTTTGATTTAAGACTAACATTTGCAAATATATGTGATGGCTTATGTCTCTGTATTTATATAGGTCATGAGACTCAAAGACAATGTATCATTTCAAGGAAAACTCATTAAGATAATAAGAATTCATGGCCTGTGTTCCAAAGTGATCATTTTTTAACATATCTCTCATGAATGAAATTAGGTTTCCTAGGGGTGCTAGGGTGGCTCAGTCTGTTACGTGTCTGACTTTGGCTCAGGTCATGATCTCACAGGTCCATGAGTTCGAGCCCCGCGTCAGATTCTGTGCTGACAGCTCAGAGCCTGGAGCCTGCTTCGGATTCTGTGTCTCCCTGTCTCTCTGCCCCTTCCCTGTTCATGCTCTGTCTCTCAAAAATAAACGTTAAAAAAAATTTTTAAGTGGGTTTCCTAGAAAACTTTCATAAATTATATACTTAGAATTTTGCTGAATATTGAAGGCCTATCCTGGCCTATGTAGAATTCTCCTCTAGAGAAAATTAATAAAAATGAAATACAAATATCTTCATACAGGGGAGAGATAGTTTGAAAATTCTTTATAAGTTATACAAAAACAAATGTAGTCATGAGGATCTGTTTTGTAAATCTAAATTTTTTATATATTGAAGTCATTACAGTATGTTTCTATTTATATTTATGTATAGTGGCAATTGTTTTTTTTTTTTAATTCCAGTGTAGTTAACCTTATTTCTCAAGGTGACTTCCTGTGGAAAGAATACTGTTGCATCTAGAAGAGACTACAGTTAACATGTAGTATTATGTTAGTTTCAGGTGTACAATATAGTGATTCAACAATTCTGTACATTACTCAGTGTTCATCATGATAAGTGTACTCCTTAATCCCCATCACCTGTTTCACCCATCTCCCCACCTACCTCCTCTCTGGTAGCCATCAGTTTGTTCTCTGTGCTTTGGAGCCTGTTTTTCAGTTTCTGTCTTTTTTTTATCTTTGTTCCATTGGTTTATTTCTTAAATCCCACATGAGTGAAAGCATATAGTATTTGACTTTCTTTGTCCCAACTTATTTCACTCAGCATTATACCCTCTAGATCCATTCATGTCATTGCAAATGGAAGACTTCATTCATTTTTATGGCTGAATAACATATATATATCATCTTGTTTGTTCATCTATCAATGGACACTTGGCTGCTTCCATAATTTAGCTATTGCAAATAATGCTGCAATAAATATAAAGCTGCAGATACCTTTTTGATTTAGTGTTTTTGTATTCTTTGGGTAAACACCCAGTAGTGGAACCTCCATACTGTTTTCCACAGTAGCTGCACCAGTTTACATCCCTACCAGCAGTGCATTTGGGTTCTTTTTTCTCCACATCCTCCTCAAAACTTGTTTTTTATTTCTTTGATCAAACTTGAGTTTTTCATTTTAGGCATTCTTACAGGTGTGAGGTGATACCTCATTGTGGTTTTGATTTGCACTTCCCTGATGGTAAGAAAGAATCTTATCTAAGGCCTTGTCCACGGGCAAGGTTGGAAATCTTCCTAAGACCTGGATACTTCTTGGCCCTCTTGTCATAAGAGAATTGTGTTCTGGAGCCCAGATTCCAGAATTAGATAGATCTGGGTTTGAATTCCAGCTCTTCCATGTACTAGCTGGGTCACTAATTATGTTAACCTTATGCCTCAGTTTCTTCTTTTGTCTGATGAGCAAGTACTGAACTTCCTGTAACCCTCAGGATGACACTGTGAAATGTTCTAAAACACTAAACATAAAGCAAGTTACCCCTCAAATGGTAACAAGTAGTGTTGTATCTTTTAAAGCTCTAATTTCTATTTTATTTGTCATTTACCTTTTTGTCTCTCTCTTATTCATATGCTTTCATATCCACATGTATTCTTTATCACCTACAGTAGTATATAATATAATTAAATTTCTTCACCTGTAAAATGAAAAGATTGGATGACGTGATCAGAGCTTTCCTTTCCAGTTTTAACATTCTGTGAATTTTCAGATTTTACTATTTATCCTTGTTTCTCAGGGTGACTTCCTATGGAAAGAATACTGCTGTGTCTAGGAGATAAAAAAAACAAAAAGGATTTATGGGTCAGTGTAATGTACTCTTTGAATTTTACAAGAGATAAAGAACCATCTTATCCCCACCTTCTGAATAACTGAGTCCTGTTTTGATCATGAAGTACCTTTTAACAGCTATTAAAACTAATGTTCCTTAGAACATACTTTAGAAAACCCTGCTGTATATCCATTTATGTGATTCTTCAGATCAAGAACTCAAGTTTTTCCTTGATAAATAAGTATGTGCATGTATTGAATTATGTAGAACACTGTGCTTACCCAGTTCCTCTCGTACCTCTACTCACCATTCCTCTGACTCATTTTCTTCCTGTTATCTATTAAACTTGGTACCTTTCTGTCTTCTTTCACGAAGGTCCTTTTTTCAGCAATCTTAATTCATTTTTGAAACTTCACCTGCCATATCTGTAAAAAGATGAGCCTACAATTGTATAGTTTAGACAATAGTTAATAAGAAAGATGATGCCACCACAAAATTTGAGGACAATGTTTACTTACCTGAGAGGCATCTTGATGTTGATTTTAGAGGTTTAGAAGAAATCAGATTATACTGTCATGGAGTGTTATAACTGGAGAGACCTTAAGAGTTTTTAGTCCTTTGGCTTTCTAACTGGATTTCATGGAACCCTAGGTTAGGGGCTTCCCTAGGAGATGTAAAGGGAAAGAGGAATGATAACAGGAACCCACTTCTAGCTTCCAGAAGCATCATGCCTATTTTAAATGACCAAAGCAGCCCCACCTGTATTTTTTATTAATATATATTTGAAATCCTAGTTAATACTATTTAGATGTATCTGTACTTAAAAAAATTTTAAGTACCTCTCCAGTCCAAAGTTTTCATTTTGTGTATAAAGAAAATAAAGTCAAGAAACATTCACTAAGAGATCCAAAGTTACACACTGTAGTGACAAAGCGAGGGCTTGTTAAAATGTTTCCAGTGTTGCTGTGTAGGAAATGACCGTCTCAAAGGGGTATTTCAACTACAGAGTGTTATTTCAACTACAAAGTGTTTTTCTTTTAACTTAGACTAATTGAAACAGAGCCACCTTTAGCTTATGAATGTAATTTTTTTGCCCTGAACTTAAGTTCTCTTTATCATTTCTCTTTTGTTATAATTCTCCCTGATTTTTTATTTGTAATCATTAGAGTCCTCCAGGAAGAAAAATTGTAATTCCTTATATTATTTACTTTTTAAGAGTGCTTCTTTGTCTTATTTTAAAATATTTTTATCTTGAGGTAAAATTATTTTGTTTCCATTAAAAAGTAAATCACAGTAATTCATTTTATAATGAGTAGTTCTGTTAAATAACTTTTGTATCTGGAAGCCCCAGTGATTTTATATAAATGAAGATGTTAATCAGGATGGTGTGCCCTAATAGTAATGTAGACAAGGGAAAACTTTCTATACTTCAGTTATTTTGGATTAAGACATTTATATCATACTTTGATCTAAGAAGTTCAAAAGTAATTCCCTTTTAATTTTTTTAAAATTATTTTTGAGAATATAAAAATCATTTTTTATTTTAATTCCAGTGTAGTTGACATGTAGTGTTACATTAGTTTCAGGTATATAATATAGTGATTTAGCAGTTCCATATCTTACTCAGTGCTCATCCCTATCCCCTCAGCTACATTCCCTCTGGTAAACGTTTGTTTGTTTTCTATAGTTAAGAGTCTGTATTTTGGTTTGTCTTCTTCCCTCCCCGCTTTGTTCATTTGCTTCATTTCTTACGTTCCACATATAAGTGAAATCATAGGATATTTGTCTTTCTCTAACTTATTTCACTTAACATACTCTCTAGATCCATCATGTTGTTCAAATGCCAAGATTTCTTTCTTTTCTATGGCTGAATAATATTCTATTATATATATATATATATATATGCCACATCTTCATCCATTCATCTTTCAATGGATACTTGGGC